ACGCCGATGGTGGGGCTGGCGGGTGGGGAACATGGAGCAGGCTAGAGCCTGCTGAGCGGAGGGAGCGAACAGGTTGATAAGGGGTTAACAGGCAGTAGGGGAAAGACTGTGGAGGGCCTTGAAGGTGAGAACGAGGATTTTGAACTCGATCCTCTGCAGGATAGGGAGCCAGTGGAGCCGGGCGAGGATGGGGGTGATGGGGTCAGGAAGGCTGGTGCGGGAGAGGACATGAGCTGCAAATTTCTGGATGATCTGCAGCTTGTGGAGGGAAGAGTTGGGGAAGCCGACAAGCAGGGAGTTGGCATAGTTGAGCCTCAATGTAACATAATAACAATAATAATAATAAACCTTGTATTTGATTTAGTGCCTTTCATGTCAAGAGGATACCTCAAACCTCTACACATGATTTATTGTAAAGTGTAGTGACTGTGTTTGTTAGGCGAATGGCCTCTGTTCTATGTTCTATGTGGGGCAAAGGCGGGAAGTTGAAATTGAGGTACAGATCAGCCATGGTCTAAAAGAATGGTGGAACAGGCTCTAGGGGCTGAATGGACTCCTCCTGTTCCTATGTAAAGGACTCCTACGTGGAGTCCTGCAGCTTAGTGGTTAGAGCGCTTGCCACGCCTCGAGAGGAACTGAGTTCGATTCCCGGGTCGAAACCTTAGGCAACTTTTCTTATTCCACACGGCTGTTTCCCTCGCAGCAGTAGGATCTCGGTTGTTATTCGATTGGCGGATCACTTTTGCGGAGTAATAATTCCTTAAAACAAAGTGTGGTCACTCAAGTGTGGCTGCTGGTTTTTGCCCACAAAACATACAGTCAATTCACTTTACAGTACATTCTGTGAAGCGCTTTGAGAAGTCTAGAAGACGTGATAAGCCGCTATAACAAATGCAAGGATCATTATTATTTATCATTATGTAAACTTTACCGATTCGCTGACTGGAAAATCAGGGTGGCTTCCTCGTGGGTGAGGAGTATCCTTGAATCCTGGGCAATGTGTTAAGTGGCAGCACACGGTTGTGACAGGAAAAAAAGTTGTGTTAAATAATAAAACTCTACAGGAAACCCAGGACAGGAAGTCATAGGAGCAGTCACTTGCCACAGGGGCTAATGGGAGCAACAAAAACCCAAGTACATTTCTTTTATCTTTGGGGGCTTCAGCCAGGTGTCTGACACATACAGAAACCCATCACTATGTTTAAGAGTATCTTCCCACTCAGCTCCTGCTAATCCTGCAAGCCCAAGCCCTATCGGGTAGGTTGGTCCTGACTGGACAAGCAGCGGGAAAGCCAACAATATCACAGGCAAGCGATGTGGTTTTAGCTGATTGGAATCCAGCAGTTACCCCAACACACACTCTGGGGTCCCCAAGCCTTGGCTCCTACCAAACCTGCGCCTGATACTTTCTGGAATTAGGTAAGTGTGATGCCTCCTTCTGGGGAGAGAGAGTGTGCATTCCATTCCCACAATCTACCTCCGGGATTTCCATGTGTAGGTGGGAGGCATGGAATTCTCACCGTGGTTTGGAAAACTCTAAAGCACAGTGATGGGTTTCCGTATGTGTCAGACACCCGACTGAGCAAATTTTAAAAAAATAAAATAAAAGAGGGCTGTCTGAAGATTCGGTGAGAAAATCCTTCCTGAAGACGTGTGAGTCAATCCCTTAATCGTTGTGAAGGACAAAATTAGATGACAGTGAGATTAAATCTTAACGTGACCCAATCCTTGCCTGAGGTTGGGAAGAAGGCTCTTTCTTTATTATTGTTATTAAAACCGTATCACAACTCATCTCAAGATCACAACGAGTTTCCCACGGTTGGAGAGTGGGTCACACCCAGGCCAGGCACCTGATCCTCACACTTTGTGAATTAAGTCGTCTGAGAGTGAATGTGTGAGTGTGTGTGTGTGTTTGTGTGTGTTTGTGTGTATATGAGTGGGTGTTTGTGTGGGTACGTGGGTGAGTGTGTGTGTGAGAGTCAGTCAGTCAGTCAGTGAGTCAGTGAGTGAGCAAGAAATTGACTGCCAAGTTTGCCTACAAAATACACAGTCAATCCACTTTGCAGTATATTCTGTGAAGCGCTCAAGACGTCTCGACGACATGATAAGGCGCTCTTCCAAATACAGAGATTATTATTAACAATATATGATTATAAACATAGGAACAGAAAGAGGCCATTCAGCCCAGAGAGCCTGAGCCAACACTTTCCAAGTTCACGCTCAATCTGCAACTCAACGCCATCTCCCTCCCTCTCTCTCTCCACAATCCCTGATATCACTGTCTCTATACCTATCAAGTAATTATCTATTTGCCTTTTAAAATGATCAATTGACTCAGTCTCCACTGCTCTCTGAGGGAGTGAATTCCACACTCCCAACACTCACTGTGTAACAATGTTATCCCTCTGTCACTTCTAAACGGTTTAGCCTCAAGAAATGGAGTTTCTCTCTCCCAACGTCATGTCCATCGATTCACCCGAAATACATTTGCTTTCTCACTCCAGGACTGTTTGTGGGGCACTGCTGTGTGCAAACTCACTGCTACTTTTCACCCACAAAATACAGTCACTGCCCTTACAGTATATCCTGTGAAGCACTTTGAGACGTCTCAACGACCTGATAAGGCGCTGTATCAAATACAAGGATTATTATTATTATTTTATTTTAACCAGTTGTTGTTGTTGTTGGGGTACTATCGCCACCTGGTGGTGGAGAGGAAGCACAGCTTGACTGCAGTTACAGTAGAGTGACATCGCTCTCTGCTGGAAGCAAAACTGCACAACAGCACAGACTGTACGGCCTGAACATGATTTCACAAGATCATAAAAATCACGAGGCTGGTTCAGATGAGGCAGTCCCTCGGGCCCATTTAATGTCATCTTAAAGTCCGTCTCAAGATCCACCTCTTTGATGACGCTCTGTCATCTTACTCCTAACTTCCACCCTGAGCTCCCACTCCCAGCTCACTGCCAAACCAGGACTGTTAGGAGCCTTGGAACGTCCTCCCGATGTGAGACACTGTATAAATTAGTAAATCTGTTGTATTCCTAGAACCTATTCTTCACAATTAGCTGCCGGTTTCTCCCATAAAATACACGGTCAATCCACTTTACAGTATATCCTGTGAAGCGCTTTGTGACGTCTCAATCACGTGATGAGGCGCTGTATCAAAAGCAAGGATTATTATTATTTATCCCAACCCTCGAGCTGTTCCATGGTCTCGACAATCCTTATTTGGGAACTCGTTCCAAATCTTTGTCGTCTTTGTTCCAGTGGCTTATTACCCCCACCCGCCCGAGTTCTGGAGTCTGCACTGATCTGATTTGGATCCGTTGCTTTGTTTATTGGGGGCTCACATTGTTCTGCCACTTCCCCCCTCCCCTCCCTCCCCCCACCCCAGTTGTGGTGTAATATTCTGCAGGTCCGTCTCAGTCAGAGGTTTCTCCGTTGTTTTCGACACTTCAATCAGATCACCTTTTACCCTCTTCAGAACAGAACCCGGGTCTGCCGGCTCTTTCATCATAACAATGATAACCGTTGCATTTGATATAGCGGCTTATCACATCATCGAGACATGTCAAAGCGCTTCACAGAATATACTGTAAAGTGTGGTGACTATATATTGTGGGCGAAACACGACAGCCAATTGAGTACAGCAGATTCCCACAAACAGCCACAGAATGACTGACCAATTTTATTTGGGGGATTGTTGGCCAAGACAGTGGGAGAGAAAAAGTCCCTCCTCTGTTCAAATTGTGTCATGGGATCGATAATATTCACCTGAACAGGCAGACGGGACCTCGGTTTAACGTCTCATCTGAAGGACGGCACCTCTGACCAATGCAACACACCCCCAGCGCTGCATTGGAGTGTCAGCTTAGACCATATGATTCCAAGTCCTGACGTGGGGTTTGAACCTAAACACACTTTTGATGGTGCCTTCAGCTCCCCTCTCAAATCTCTACCCCCTCCTCTCCTCCTCCCTTCCCTCCCCTCACCCTGACCATTTCCCCCCTCCTCACTCCCTCCCTTCCCTCCCCTCACCCTGACCATTTCCCACCTGCTCGGGTCCTGACCCAACTGTACAGTGCTTTGGGACGTCCTCCCGACATGAAAGACGCTCTATAAATGAATTCTTGTTGTTGTTGCTGTTGTTCATATCCAGACAATGGCCACAATGTTCTCAAATGATTCGCATTCGAAGACCTTTAATTCTAAAGAAGTTTTAATCAACAGTTAAAAAAAATTACAATTGTCGGGACTTTCAGGGAACAATCTTAATCGCTCTCAGACATCCTCCTGACAGAAATGTAAATCGTGTTGCATTGTGTTGCAGTTAAGATTCATCCCTTCGCCGTATCAAACACCTTAATCACATTCATTCAAATACAAATTAGATCTTGTTTTTGTTTAGAAAATAATATTTGTGGGATGCAGAATATCAGTAATTTGAGACATGACATACAGTAAGTGCAATTGCTTGGAGGAACCAGACAACTCTGGACCTGATCTGTCTGGAATGAAATTGCTCCTTTGTAACTCTAAACCCATGTCTTCTTGTCCCACTGCCTTGTGACATCCTAACGTTACTAAGGTGAGAGACCGGGGACGTGCGGAGAGAACGGAGCAGCTGCTGAGGTTCTGTGTGACCTGGAGCTCGGAGGTTGCGAAGCTCATCTGGAACCCAAAAGCTTCCATCTCCTGTGTGTCCAACAACAGCGCCGTGTGAGGAGCTTCGAGACGTCCTCTCGCCGTGAAATGTGAGTTGTTGTTGTTGCGGCTGACACCCCGAGACTCACACTCAGCTCATCAGTCCCCACTGCCATCCATCAGCTCCATCCTGTTATCATCCCACACACACACACACACGCCTGCGATCACACTTACACACATCTGTAATCACTCACACTCCTGCTATCAGACTCGCACACGCCTGTAATCACTCACACACGCCTGTAATCACTCACACATGCCTGAGATCACACTCACACACGCCTTACAGTCACACAAGCCTGTGATCACACGCACTCTCGCACAGGCTGGTGATGACAGGCTGAGGAGGCGCTAACCCAGGCTGGGCTCAGGCGATGTTGTGGAGTCTCAGAGCCCAGCCCCACTGACACGGTAACTGGTTCAGGTTGAATGTGGGCCGTGTGACCAGCAGCCCCTGCTTCCCCATCGCCTGCCACCTCAGGGGCTCAGAGTATCCAACCAGCGTCACCTGTCAGGACACACAGTTACTACAGTACAGTCCCACCTCCTTGATCCCCTCAGTCATCTCCCTTTGGAACTCCATCCCACAATCCCTCCGCCTCGGCCCCTCCCTTGCCCTCCTCAAGGCCCGTCTCAAAACCCTCCTCTTCCACCTCGTCTTCGGTCACCCTCCTACCCCTACCCTCCCTGCCCTCCAACCCTCCCGATCCCAACCCCCAGCTCGGGTCGAAATCCCTGACTGTCCAGCACATTGGGACGTCCTCCTGACGTGAATTGTGCTGCACAAATGTCATTTGTTGTTATTGTCTGTCGTCACCTTCCCCCCTTCTCAAAAGCCCTCCCTCCCCCCGTCCCTGTTGCCGAGCTATCAACCGATCTCCAACCAGCCTTTCCTCTCTAAGGTTCCCCAACGCTACTTCCAGCTTCACTCACAAACAGTCATGGATTGAAGGACTTGCTGCTGGGAAAACAGAGGGGTGTGTGTGGAGTAAGGAAACTTGCCTTAGGTTTCGCCGTGTCCGGGAATCAAACCCAGGTCCTCTCGCTTGCCAGGTAAGTGCTCTAACCACTTCTCTACAGGACTCCACTACGGTTTGTGACAAAATCACCAAAAAAAAAAATTCTCTCTGTCCAGCCAGCGGGCACCGGCTGCTTCCTATCCACCCCACCATCATTGGGGGAAACTTTCGGCTTATATTCCCCCACTCTCTGAAGCTCCATCCCGGAGTCCTGCCGACCCCTCTCCACCCCCCCAACCACAACTCCATCACCTCGTTCAAGATCCATATCTCTTTGACCCTCCCAATCCCACACCCCTCCAACAGGGTAGGGATTCGGCGGTGGAGTGGAGGTGAAGCAATGGTGAGGGAGCATCCATGACAAACCCAAAGCCCACCCCCTAGTCCCGAGCCTCCTCTCCCTGTACGCTCCGTGTGTGTGTACCCCCGCCCAGTGATGGCTGACCTTGCTGTGCCCGGCTGTGGCCGAGGGAGCTCCCAGGATCAGGCTGTCTGTCTTGGGCCACGTTAGGAACACAGCGTACACCAGGCTCTGCTCCGGGCGGGATGTGTACCTGTGGAACCGCGGGCGATAAAATCCTGCAATCAACGGTCAGTGAATAAACTCTGTCACCCGTTACCCCCCACCCATGGAGCTCCATCCCCCAGGCTCCCCGCCTTGCCCCCTCCCTCGCCTCCTTCAAGACCTGTCTCCAAACACTCCTCTTCGACCATGCCTTCGATCACCTTCTGACCCCTACCCTCCCTGCCCTCCACTTCTCCCGATCCCAACCCCCAGTTGGGGTCCAAACCCTTCACTGCCAGAGCTTTGGGATGTACCCTACTCGCCTGCCCTTCTCTGAGTCCATAAACTCAACAACAACAACAAGATTCCATTTATAGAGCGCCTTTCACGTCGGGAGGACGTCCAAAGGCGCTGTACAGTTGCGTCAGGACCCGAGCAAGGGGGAAATGGTCAGGGTGAGGGGAGGGAAGGGAGGGAGCGAGGATGGGGTAGAGAGTCGTGAGGGGAGTTGAAGGCACAGTCAAAGAGAAAGGTCTTGAGACCAGCTTTGAAGGAGGAAAGGGAGTAGGCAAGGCAAAGGCACTGGGGGATAGAGTTCCAGGGCCTCGGGGCTGAGAAGCTGAAGGCCCGGCCACCAATTGTAGGGCCGTTGGGACGGGCGATGTGGAGCAGACCGGAGCCAGAGGAACGGAGGGTACGGGCAGGCAGGTAGGGGGATAGTAGGTCAGAGAGGTAGGAGGGAGCAAGGCCGTGAATGGTCTTGTAGGTGAGATGTGCTGTTACACTCACCCACTGTTAATGATGACCTACCAGACAGTGGGAGTGACAGTGTCGTTCTGATGTCTCCAGGGCTTAGTGCTGTAGATGGCCTCCCCGTTCACTGACAGCCACTGGCCCATCTGCCGCAGTCTCTCCTCAAACAGAGGGATGATCTGTCCGTCGTGGGTGGGTCCGATGTTCACCAACAGGTTCCCCCCGCACGACACCGTCTCCACCAGAGTCTAAGAGAGAGAGAGAGAGAGACAAGAACATCCATCACCCTCGCTGCTCTCTACAGCCTCCGCTTCACCACCACAGCTCGAAGGCAATTCAGGGGTTTCACCCACAAAATATACAGGGAATCCACATGGAGTCCTGTAGCTCAGTTGTTAACACGGTCCCCTCACAAGCGAGAGACCTGGGTTGGATTCCCCAGGCAGCTCAAAACTTTGGACAAGTTTCCTTACTCCCTGCGCCTCTGTTTACGCAGCAGTAAGTGGAAACCTGGTCGTTATTCGATTGTCGGATCGCTTTTTCGGGGGCAATAATCCCTTCAAAAAATTTTTTTTTTAAAAAATTATCATTTTGTCACTCAATTCACGACTGTCTGTGGGACACTGTTGAGGGCAAATTGGCTGCCGCGTTTCACCAACAGAACATACAGTCAAATCACTTAACAGTGTACCCTGTGAAGCGCTTTGAGACGTCTCGACGACATGATAAGGCTCTGTATCTAATGAGCCGGGCTGGGCTGTGCTGTCATCAGCAGTGCCCTGGAATACTGGGGACCCGCCTGGCTCAGGGGGAACCAAACCGTCAAGTGGCGCCGCCTGCTATAGCTATTGAGATTTCCATAACGTATTGAAGGAACTCTCTCACCAAGAAGCCAGTGTCAGAGAGTGTGAAGGGGAGGGCATTGTGTGACCTGAACCAGCTGCTGGATGGAGAGGAAATCTCTCAGCTCCGCGTTCCTCCTGAAGCCCCAGGATTTTCTATCGATGGTCATGCAGTTCTCCCACTTGTGGGGCAGGAGGTGGCCTGGGTTGTAGCGGTCAGCGCAGGTGTAGTATCCTCCGTGCTTACAGATGGTCCCCAGCCCCCAGCGGTCGTTCGTCACCACCGTCTTCCTCACGGGGCTGCAACAACAACAACTAAATTAAACCCAACTGGAGGCCTGTAGTGTAGTGGTTAACTCGCTCACCTCCCACTGCCTGTCCAGCTAGGACCATCCTGCCTGTTAGGGCTTTGGATTGCAGGCTTAACAGGAGATGAGTGGGAGGATTCCCTGACTCCAGTCAGTGACTGGTCTGCCCTTCCAAGTCCTATTCATGCTGATTGAAGTCCTGTAGTGGTTTGAGCACTCGCTTTGCAAGCTAAAGGTCTCGGGTTCGATTCCCAGTCAGGGCGAAACCTGACTTAAGTCACGTTTCCTCACTCCACACGCCTCTCTTTACCGAGCAGCAATGTCGATTGGTGGATCGCTTTCCGAGGGTAATAAACCCTTCAAAAAAAAATGATGATAATTTGATCACTCAATCCATGTGCTTGTGGGACATTCCTGTGTGCAATTGGTTGCTATGTTTCGCCCACAAATATACAGTCAATTAATTTTACAGTATATTCTGTGAAGCGCTTTGAGACGTCTCAATGAAATGATAAGGCGCTATATCAAATACATTATTACTTTTATTATAAAGTTGGCCACCACTGGCCTATTTGTGAGTACAATGGCCTTGAGGTGGGACTTTAACCCACAACCACACATAGGGTAGCATTCTGGGCAGTGGCGGAGCCTGACGCTGAGCTGGGGGAAGGTGACCATAAGAAGGTCTTCGGGTATGATCTGAAGATGAGGAAGGAGGGGGCAAGGCAGAGGGATAGAGGCAGAGTGTTCCAGAGTTTGGGGGAGTAATGGCTGAAAGTGCGGTCGGCAATGCTGGAACGGAGGGCACGAGGAACAAGCAGGAGTCTGGAGCCAGTCGAGCGGAGGCAGCTGGTAGTGGGTTGGCGGTAAGCAGGTCAGAGAGATAGGGAGAGGGGAGAGTGTTACTGAGTGAGCCAGGCTGACACACTTGCCTTTCATTGTAGAGCCAGGACAGGAAGCCAGTGCTGTTCCAGTAGGAGGCGGGGGCGTTACCATCACCGTCAGACCAGAGAACCTCCGGCCGGTACTTGTTGACAATCTCGTAGAGCTCGGAAGGCTCTTCTTGGAGGGAAACTTGTTGGTTTTAAAGTGGTTGGCCTCATCCTCCAAGAAGAGGGGATTGAACCACTCGAAGAGGGAGTGGTAGAGCCCGAACCTCAAGTCCGTTCTACCTCTGATCGCGTCTCCCAGCTCCGCCACCAGGTCCCGCCGTGGCCCCACGTCAACCGCGTTCCAGTTCCAGGACGTTTGCGAGCCCCACAGAGTAAATCCTGAGAGGATGCAGACAACACACATCAAACCCTGAGAACATACAGCCAACACGCATCAAACCCTGAGAACATACAGCCAACATGCATCAAACCCTGAGAACATACAGCCAACGTGCATCAAACCCTGAGAACATACAGCCAATGTGCATCAAACCCTGAAAACACAAATCAACAACAACAACTTGTATTTATATAGTACGCCTCATGCAGAGTCGCGTCCCAGAGCACTTGACAGTACTTGATATGGTTGAATAGGAAGGTCTTCAGGCGTAACCTAAAGATGGAGAAGGAGGGGCAAGGCAGAGGGATTGAGGTAGAGAGGTCCAGAGTTTCNGGGGGAATTGCCTGAAAGCGCGGACGGCAATGGTGGAATGGCGGGCACGAGGGACAAGCAGGAGGCCAGAGATGATTGAGTGGAGGCAGCGGGTTGTGGGTTGGGGAGTAAGCAGGTTGGAGAGGTGGGGAGGTACTGGGCGTAAAGGGATTGGAAGACAGATGTGAGGATTTTGAAATCAATGACACCAAACCCAGAGAACACACGACCAACACTCAGAGCTCAGAACTTTGTGGATTTAAGCTAAAGTGACTGACTATCCTCCTTTGGGGTACGTAGGGTCTCCTTGTAGCTGAACTGACTCCAAAGTAACATAATAATCCTTGCAGTTGACATGTTATGCAACAGAATGTCAGAATGGAGCCAACCCTCGGTGACGGTCTCCATACGGTTCCTGAGCCAGGCGGGTCCGCAGTATTCCAGGCCACTGCTGATGACAGCACAGCCCCGGCCTGGCTTCCAGCAGGACTTGGAAGAGCAGACCAGTCACTGGGGGCAGGAAATCCTCCCACTCAACTCCAGCAGTTACCCCAACACACACTCTGGGGTCCCCAAGCCATGTCTCTTGCCAACCCGCGCCTAACACTTTCTGGAATTTGATAAGCAGATCCCTCCAGGGAGAGAGTGCGCATTCCATTCCGACAATCTATCTCTGGAGTTTCCATGTGGAGATGGGATGCGTGGAATTCTCAGCTCGGTTTGGTGACTCTTAAGCATTAAGCAGTATGGCAAGGGGTTTCCGCACGTGTCAGACACCCGGCTGACCGAAAGAAAAGCGTGACTGAGTTGCACTATAATAATAATCTTTTTGACACAGCGCCTCATCACATCTTTGAGACGTCTCAAAGCGTTTCACAGAACATATTGTTAAGTGAATTGACTGTATATTTTGTGGGCGAAATGCAGCAGCCAATTGCTCACAGCAGTGTCCACAAACAGTCGTGGAACTTTTTTAACTATTTTCTTTTTTAAGGGAATATTACCCCAGAAAAGCAATCCGCCAATCGACTAACAACGGGGTTCCTACTTACTGCTGGGTAAACAGAGATGGGTGGAGTAAGGAAACTTGCCTAAGGTTTCGTCCTGCCCAGGAATTAAACCCGGGTCCTCTCGCTTGTGAGTGCTCTGACCAATATACTACAGGAAGACAGGGGAGGGGAGAGGAGAAGGGAACAGAGAGAAGGGGATGAGTCAACATTTACCTTCGTGATGTTTGGTTGTGAGAACCACATACTTGGCCCCCGAGTCATTGAGCAGGTCGGCCCACTGGACAGCATCAAAAAACTCAGCCGTGAACATGGGAGCAAAGTCAGCGTAGCTGAACCCCGGAGGGTAGTTCTTGTCCATAAACTCCACATAGGGTGTCAGCTTCTGCTTCTGCCAGTAATACCTGCGGGGAGATCATAATAGTGCAATAATCAATAGTCAATCAATCATGGAACATAGGAACAGTAGTAGGCCATTCAGCCCCTCGAGACTGTTCCACCGATCTATAAGACACAATACAATACAAAATTACATTTGTAAAGCACCTTTCACATCGGGGGGCGTCCCAGGGTGCTGAACAGTCAGGGATTAGGACCCGAGCCGGGGTGGGGGTTGGGATCAGGGATGGCGGGAAGGGTGGCGGTAGAAGAGTGGCTGATATTTTTGAAGGGATTATTACCCCTGGAAAGCGATTCGCCAATTGACTAACGACCAGGTTCCTACTTCCTGCAAAGTAAACAGAGGTGTGTGGAGTAAGGAAATTTGCCTAAAGTCCTGTCACTGTAGGACTCCACTTTTTTCTTCCAAACACTGTTCAATACAAGTCGTTGCATTACAATTTACATTGATACAGCGCTGTTCATACTGGGAGCCAAGGGGGAAAGATGACCAAAAGCGATCAAAGAGGTACGTTTTGTGACATGTCTTTTCATGTAGTGCTGACTGTGATCGTGACAGGTCTTAGGATCCAGAGCGATAGCCCTGAGCACCTCCCACCCCTCTCAGCTTCCTTATTCCAAAACAGCTGATGTGCTTTTTCATTGGGGGGAGGGGAACAACACTGAGGTTCACGTGATGCCTGACCATACACACACACACACACACACATACCCCACCGCCAATCACACACACACACAAACACGCTCCTCGTATCACACACGCACAACAACAACTTGGATTTACACAGCGCCCCTCACGTGGGGGTAGCGTCCCAGAGCGCTTGACTGTGGCGGAGTTCGACGCCGAGCCGGTCGGAGGGGGTGACCATAGGCACGGTCGAGGAGGAAGGTCCTAAGGCGCGACCTGAAGATGGGGAAGGCGGGGGCAAGGCGGAGGGAATTGCGGGAGAGAGTTCCAGAGTTTAGATGAGAACGAAACCAAATACACACCAGAACCATTCGCTCCCATAGCTGGGGACTGAGAACACCCCCCAGTGGATGAAGACCCCAAACTTTGCTCGGTCGAACCATTCTGGTAGCGGCCGCGAGTCGATGGGACCCCAATTGGGGTCCGTCAGTGATTGACAGCTGAGGCTGATTGACAGTAGAGCCCAGACCTGGATCAGGCTCCAGCCCTGCATCCCGGGGGCCGTCAGCAACTGAGCGTCAGCCGCTACGCAGATGCCTCAGTGAAGGAGGAAGCAAGCAGGAAGAGGAAGGTCTTCTTGCCAGCAAAACAGTCCAAGTCCATCGCCTCTGGGTCCTACAGCCCACCAGGTTCTCCGTCAGCTCCGCAAATACGACAAAAGTGATCCTTGCATTTGATATCGCGCCTTATCAGGTCATTGAGAATACGTCGTATCAGGAATTGACTGTATATTTTGTGGGGCAAACGCGGCAGACAATGGCGCGTGGCCGTGTCCCACAAAACAGTCGTAGATTGAGTGACCCAATTGTTTTTTGGAGGGATTATTATCCACAGAAAGCGATCCGCCAATCGAGGTTTCTGTTGACAGCTGGTAACCAGAGGCGTGTGGAGGAAGCAGACTTGCCTAAGTTCCTGCCCCATGCGCAGTGAGCGTGCTAACCACGACGCTACAGGACTCCACTTTTATATTCGCTCCCTTGTCTCCTTCAGGACTCATCTCCTTTTTGACCTTGCCTTCAATCACCCTCCCTCCCCCCTGCCCTCCACCCTCCCCGACCTCAACCCCCAACTCGGGTCTGAAACATTGATTGTCCAACACCTTGGAACGTCCTCCCGACGTGAAAGGCGCAGTACAAATACAATTGTGTTGTTGTTGTTGTTGTTCTGAATTTATATCCCAAATGCTGTTCAATACAAGTTGTTACAATACAATTTACATTGATCCAGCGCTGCTCACGTCAGGAGGACGTCTCAAAGCACCTGACGCTGAGGGCCTGGGAGCCAAGGGGAAAGATGGCCAAAAGTCCGATCAAAGAGGTACGTTTTGTGACATGTCTTTTCACACAGTGCTGACTGTGATCATGGCAGGTTTTCGGATCTAGAGCGATAGCCCTGAGCACCTCCCACCCACCACACACACAATAACTTTCATTTATATAGCGCCCTTCACATGGGGTAGCGTCCCAGAGCGCTTCACAGTGGTGGAGTCTGACCCCGAGGCTGGGGGAGAGGAAGAGGGGAGGTGACTGTAAGCACGATCAAAAAGAAAGATCTCCGGGTGCGATTTGAAAGTGGGGATGGAGGGGGCAAGGCGGAGGGACTGGGGGGAGAGTTCCAGAGTTTCAGGGCATAGTGACTGAAGGCACAGTCACCGATGGTGGAGCTGAGGGGAAGAGGGACAAATAGGAGGAACAAATATGGCGTACCACATGCTCCCCATATCACACACATAATAATAATAATAATAACAATAATTGTAGTAATAATAATCCTTGCATTTGATATAGCGCTTTTGACATCACTGAGACGTGAAAGCTGAAAGCTCTTCACAGAATATACTGCAAAGTGAATTGAGTTTATATTTGTGGGCGAAACGCGGCAGCCAATTACGCACAGCAGCGTCCCATCGACAGCCATGGATTGAAGTGACCAATTTTTTTGTCATTGTTTTTCTTTTTTGAAAATATTTGAAGGCAGAGTCGAAAAGGAGTGTCTTGAGTTGTGCCTTGAAGCAGGCAAGAGAGTGAGCGAGGTGAAGGGACTGTAGGATGGAGTTTCACAGGGTGGGGGCAGAGAGGATGAAAGCCCAGGCCCCCAATGGTAGGGTGTGCCGGGCTGGAGACATGGAGCAAGCCGGAGTTTGCTGAACGGATGGAGTGGGCAAGTTGATAGGGTCAGCAGGTCAGAGAGGTTGGAGGGCGTAAGGCCGTGGAGGGCTTTGAAAGTGACGATGAGGAATTTGAATTCTATCCTCTGAGGGATGGGATGTCAATGGAGCCGAGCGACGGTGGGGGTGATGGTGGGGGATAGGACACGATCTAAGAATTGGGGAGACCGACAAGGAGGGAGTTTCCGTAGTAGAGCCTTCAGATGACGATTGTGTTTATGAAGGTTTCGGAGGCCTGAGGGGTGAACCAGTGACGGAGTCGAGCAATGTTGCAGAGCTGGAGCAAGGCACCGCATTTTGCTGGCCTGAGCGGTGAGGTAGTGGTGGAGTCGGGCAAAGTTGCACAGGTGGCGGAGGCAGCGGGTAGTGCTGTGAGAAGAGAGGAGGTTCGAGGGATAGGAGGTGTGATATTCCTGGTTTAGGTGAGTAAATCCCAATGCTCGTCTCTCTCCTCCTTCCCCTCCCCCCAGCTCCCTCCCCCCCAACACATTGTCCGTGGGGTGTGAGCGGCACTGTGTGAGCTCGAGGCATTGTGAAGCTCTGAGTCGTGTAAGTGGCGTTGTATAACTGAGTTGTTCTGTACAGATTGGGAGCCCGGCTGACACACAGTGACTGAGCCAGACTGACACACAGTGAGTTAGCCAGACTGACGTACAGTGACTGAGCCAGGCTGACGTACAGTGACTGAGCCAGGCTGACGTACAGTGACTGAGCCAGGCTGACACACAGTGAGTTAGCCAGACTGATGTACAGTGACTGAGCCAGGCTGACACACAGTGAGTTAGCCAGGCTGACGTACAGTGACTGAGCCAGGCTGACGTACAGAGACTGAGCCAGACTGACACACAGTGAGTTAGCCAGACTGATGTACAGTGACTGAGCCAGGCTGACACACAGTGAGTTAGCCAGACTGATGTACAGTGACTGAGCCAGGCTGACGTATAGAGACTGAGCCAGGCTGACGTACAGTGACTGAGCCAGGCTGACGTACAGTGACTGAGCCAGGCTGACGTACAGTGACTGAGCCAGGCTGCGTAAAATGACTGAGCCAGGCTGACGTACAGTGACTGAGCCAGTCTGACGTACAGTGACTGAGCCAGGCTGACGTAAAATGACTGAGCCAGGCTGATGTACAGTAACTGAGCCAGGCTGAAGTACAGTGACTGAGCCAGGCTGACGTACAGTTACTGAGCCAGGCTGACGTACAGTGACTGAGCCAGGCTGACGTACAGAGACTGAGCCAGGCTGACGTACAGTGACTGAGCCAGGCTGACGTACAGTGACTGAGCCAGGCTGACGTACAGAGATTGAGCCAGGCTGACGTACAGTGACTGAGCCAGGCTGACGTACAGAGACTGAGCCAGGCTGACGTACAGTGACTGAGCCAGGCTGACGTACAGAGACTGATCCAGTCTGACGTACAGTGACTGAGCCAGGCTGACGTAAAATGACTGAGCCAGGCTGATGTACAGTAACTGAGCCAGGCTGAAGTACAGTAACTGAGCCAGGCTGAAGTACAGTGACTGAGCCAGGCTGACGTACAGTGACTGAGCCAGGCTGACGTACAGTGACTGAGCCAGGCTGACGTACAGTGACTGAGCCAGGCTGACGTACAGTGACTGAGCCAGGCTGACGTACAGTGACTGAGCCAGGCTGACGTACAGTGACTGAGCCAGGCTGACGTACAGTGACTGAGCCAGGCTGACGTACAGTGACTGAGCCAGGCTGACGTACAGTAACTGAGCCAGGCTGCCACAAAGAGACTGAGCTACGTTGACACACAGTGACTGGGTTTGAGAGCGAAAAGGGAGATTTCCAAACCAAGGGTATAAATTTAAGTGTAAGTAAGGTCAACTTCGATGGGATGATAAATATACTGACCACAGTAAACTGGGCTGAGCTGTTAGTGGGTAAAGCTGCAGAAGAACAACGGGAACTATTCAAAAAAGTATTTGATACAATACAGAACAAGTACATACCCCTAAAATGCAAAAGCTCCACATCGTGTAGTGAAGCGACCATGGTCGACTAAAGAGGTTAGAGGCTGTATCGAGCTAAAGGAAAAGCTTACTCAAATGTAAGAAAAAGTGTGAATGCAGAGGACTGGGAGAACTATAAAAGTCAACAAAGGGATAAGAAGAAAGTATTAAGAGAAGCATAAAGGGTGTGTAAAAAAAACTTCCGAGGGATATTAAAACCATTAGTAAAAGCTTTTATAAATAAATGAAAAGAAAGAAAATGGTCAACAGAAATGTATTGTCCGGTAAAGACAGATGTAGGTGAGAATATGACGGAAAATAAGGAAATGGCTGACTTGTTAAACAGATACTTTGCAACTATTTTTAGAGTAGAGGATGAGGACAAAATACCAGTCATACAGGGGAACCTAAAAATAAGTCAAAGAGAAATGCTTAATAAAATTAATATATATAAATATTGTCAATGGAGAAAATAATGAGACTCAAGATAGACAAATCTCCAGGACCTGATAGTTCCTCCCCAGGGTGTTAAAGGAAATAGGAGAGGAATTTACAGATGCATTTGTCTCTTTATTAAATCCCTAAAGTAATACGGATGTTGGGATGTGAGACGGATGGTTGGACTTTTGTGTGTGAGTGGGAGATTTGCAAACCTGAGTTTATTTGACTTCAGACTGAGCTCATTCAGCCACACACCTTGTCCTATGCAAACACCCAGATATTGTGATAATGGGTTAGACAGAGTGATAGCAGAGCTGGTAACATCCAGACTTGACAATACTAACCACCTGCTCACCAGATCCTTTAAATTCATTACTGCAACAAGGAGTTTTAAGAAGGACAGATTTCTCTATTTCAGCAGTTTTATTACAACACAAACCGATAAACAGTGTCCAATGTTGTGTGAATCCAGAGTATTGACTCTGTAGAATTACATTTTTAGAAATGTGAAAAACATCTATTAGCCAATTTTGGGGCAGTGCAACATTTCCAATAGATTCTTGGTTTCTCACCTATGGTTTTGATAACCTATCACACCACGAAAGAATTACTTTTAGACGGTCAGTTAAAAGATGGATCATTATCAAATGTCTGTCTGGCTCCATGGACCTTGTTGTTTCAAGGACGTGACATTACGTTTAAACATTCCTCTTCCCCGACATTTTTGGCTAATAAATTAAATTCTAAAGTTGCCGCGAATCATCAATATTCAAGCAATGGATCAAATTGAAGTGTTAAACATGGTTTGCTGTTTAACAAAGATTTGTGGGAGGTTCCGACAACGTGTCGGAATGACTTTTTACAACAAAGTACATGATGCTCCCACGTCTGGACATCAATCAGCGCCACTACGTTACAGTGACTACAACAAATAGCCCAATGCTATTGATTCGGATCAAGGGTCTCACTTTA